CGTGACGGAGCCTTGCTTTCCTGGAGATGGCTGAATATCTGCTTGCTGTGGGATGTGGTGAAGTAATTCCTTGTTTTGCTTTGCTTGTGTGTTCAGCTCTTGCTTTACCTATTATATTTTTTCTCTCAACCCATGTGTTTCCTCACTTTTACTTTTCCAATTGTCTCCCCCATCCCGCTGTCGGAGGGTGAGCTTGTGGCTGCGTGGGGCTTAGTTGCTAGCTGGGATCAAACCACGACAGGACAATGCAAAGAAATAAGTTTTCACCGGAGTATAATTTCCATTAATTGCAGTATAATTATATAATCACTTTAACTGACAAATGCTGCCTGAATCCTCTCAGGGTGCATTTATTTAAGAAGACGTCAGCAGAAATATATCCTGTGCTGAAGTGGGCTTGATGAAATTTTGGAAGCGTTGTCTGCCCTGTACCACCATCCAGGGACAGCCCTGAGCTGTGTTTCATAAGTATACATTTCCCAGAGAAAATCAAATGCTGGGGGAGAGTACGCAGAGGCAAGGGTCAGTCTGTTTTTGCTTTGGCTCATCTCATAATACAAATATTTTCTGCCAACCCTCATCAAAAACAGGGTAGTGGGATAAATGCTCTGACCTGCCGTACAGGTTTGCAAAGTGTTTCAATTTGATTTGGGGTCGGGCAGGAGACAGAATTATCTACTCAGCAGGTAGGTATAGAGCAGACCGAGCACTCCCTACCTGTTTGAGAGGAATTAATGACTGTGTTTTTATCAACATTTCTCACTTAAGCTATGAGCACCCGTGGTTAAGACAGCTTTTCCCGGCTGAGCCTCTTTAGATGAGTGCCTTTGTCTATCTCTGTTGCCTCTTACATTCTGTTTGTACTCAAACGCTGTGAGGTTTTGTTGATACAGCGACTTTTTGTTATTTGTCATTAGTCTTACTGGTCTCTCTCAAAAGTTGTTTAACGTAAGCAGGTTTGATACGGGGTGTATGCAGCTTTGTGTGAAATCTTAGCCCTGTAGAAATCTGAGAGCATTTTGCTGTTGATTTCTCTGGGTTTAGGATTTCCCCTTTGTTTTCTGCCTCCTCGCCCATCCCTGATGCTGCTTTACACTCTCCTAATCCACTGTGGCCATCTAGACTGTGTTTACTGGAGATGGGAAAGATCTACTGTGTCTTAATCTAAACCTGTCTGAAGATCTCTCTGGTTTTCCGTGTCATACCATTTAATTTTTCTCTCTGAAGTTTATTGCCTTTGTAAATTCAGTGTTTAAGTTTAGTAGGGGATGCAGTATAGCATACAAGATAACACGTAAAATAAAGCCATGGTGTAATTTTACACTGCTGTTTTATTACTGTTATTTCTCACAGATGGAGGGAAAAACTTTCAGTTACCCAGGAAGGATGGCGCGACGTTGTGTGTGGTTGGCACCCTGGCAGTGATGGTGCTTGGATGTGTTTAATACGTCACTGAATTTGGTTGTCTTGGGTTAAATCTTCTATTTTTTTGTCATCAGTGCTTACATTGCTCTAGGACTGTACAACAGGAAAAAAGCCTCTGTATCTCTGCAGCCTCTCTGAGAATATCTGTAGGTTTTGTATCGGCAAGTGTTGTTATTTTGTAATATTCATCCAGGTCTTTCTTTTTCTCTGAGGTATTAACAGATCATTGGGATTCACATGTAGGGGGGGGGCACTACAGCAGCCCATGAGCCCCTGGTGAATTATGCATGTGCATAATTGGGGTTTCAGGTGTCATTAGATGGGACTTGCATAGTTGCTCTTTGAGGTGTGCGTGTATATATATATATATATATATATATATGCATACATGCAAGAAAGATGTAGCCCTGACTTTGCAGCTCTAAAAGTGGAATTTTAATGTATTAATCTGCAGGCTTCAGAGTACCACTGTCTGCATAATAATAAAGAAAAAAAGGAAGAAAAGAGTGGGGGAAGCGGATGGGAGGAGGCTTCACCCTTAACCATCACTGTCATTCCTGCTGTTTTATCAGAAAAAGTGGTGGCTTTAATTTGAAATGTACTTGCTGTCTCTGTACAGGATCCAATATGTCTTTTGATTCAAAGTCACAGATCTTTTCCTTTTGCGTTGAAGAGAAATCTCTACAAGCTGTTGGTACTATTAGAACTTAAATCTACACAGATAAATAACAAAACTCTTTCTAATGTGAATTCCAACTCCTGCATCGTTCCTGCCCCCCCAGTTTTGAGCTTTCTGTGCCTCCTTTCCCCCTTACCTCAAAAAGATGAGCTGGAGGTGAAAGCAGATGTTCAATATTGAGTATCTACATATTTTTCATTTAGAAGATTGACGTTTTATCAAGTTTGATGGCTGAAGAAAATTGCCTACATGGAAATGGTAACTGATTTCTGGATGACTGACTGTAGCTTTCTGCAAGGTTCAAGGATGTTCCCATCTCTTCTGGTGCCTTTGCCACAGGAGGGCAATCTTCGTGCCCTAAAGCGGGTAGTGCTGCTGATTACACACGCGGCAGGTTATAGCTATTGGCAGTGCGCTGAGCAGAACGGTTTTTTGGTGTTCAAATCAAGAAAAATGGTGCTTTCCTGTTTTGTGAAGGACTACTAATATTACAGGGCTGACTGGTTTCTTTAAGGCTGACCAAACGGTTCAAGAAAAATAGGAGCCTTTTCAAATATAGTCAGGTCTGCTGAAGCAATAGTCAAGTCATTGGTGGAGAGAAGATGAGTGTGTCAGTTCTGGAAGCGGAGCTATTTTGTATCCCAGAGGAGTGAATATGCTGATACTTGGTAGGCCTCCAATGCCTGCAACTGAGGAAAGGACGTGCCTATTTATTTTCCTTGCTGGAATCGTCTTCACGTTTCTGTGCATTGCATCTAACAGCCTAGATTTATAATTCAATCTGCGTCTATTTGTTTCTTGACAGAAGAGGATGAAATAATAGCAAGGCTCTGTTTTCTTTACAGCTAGGAATAGATAGCTATGGCTTACCATCAGTGTAAACTGTACAGGGTTTTGTGATGTTTCAGATGAATGATGCTACTGCCGTGTGGAAGTAAATCGCGGCGTCCTGGAGCGAGTCCCAGGTTACGCCGCTGTTCTCGCAGCGGGTAATTTCTGAGGCAGCACAGTTGAAGCACACCGGGGCAGATCCTCCTTCTTGCTAACACCAGGAGACGCGGTAGCAGTCCAGTGGAGGTCAGCACCTCTTCTGAGAGGTTTAGAGTTCAGAAAGGGGAAGCCTCAAGAGCTTCATGCTAATGTGAGCGGGGTGTGTGACGTACAGCAAGTCCCTGACCTGCCCAGAGCTCCGGTTCGGGTGATCAGAGGAAGGACCAACCATCTCTGAGCGCAAGGTCAGCATTCCACCCCTCAAATGAGACTGCAGGTGAAGAGCAGACCAGTTTTTGCCTCACTCTAGCACGTGCCACAGGGCGGAATTTGACCTGTGAGTTATCTCTGCATAAATCTGATAATTATGTAGTTAATTAGGGAACTGGAAACAAGACAAAGTGAATCTAACCGTTTATCTTATCTTTTTCTGCCTTCTATTGCATCTTCCATCTTTTCTGAACTTTCTGAAGTTCAAGGGACAAGCAGGTCGAAAATGGGAAGACAATTAGAAGCACTTGGCCTGATGCCTGCCTTTACACTGTGTTGATTAGGTTTTAATTGGCAATTCTTGTCTGTAATATAAGATAATTGCAGAGATTTCCAGGAATTGTTTGTAGAATAGGAAGAAACAGACACATCTGAGTTCTACTGGAGGAGTTTAATTAAAGGCTTTATAAAGTGCAACAGATGGCGCTTTGCTAGTTATGAAGACAGGCGTGAGGCCTCTTTGTAGACATTCAGCCAGGATGGTTAGAGCTTCTGCTCCCGGCTGACTGGAGATGCTCTGACATAATCTTACTTTAGGGGACTTGAGCAATTCAAGGATAATGTGCGCTTTATGTTCTGGTCCAAACTGTGAAGATCGTTTTTTGGAAAGCGAAGTTAGGCAGCCATAGAGTGCAATTCCTTGTGTGCGTGGCAGAAACGCCCTTCCCGAAGGGAGCTTGGCTTTCCTTGACCTCTGAAGTTGTCCTCAACTCCCTTCTGAGAGGTTTGCAGAAGTGAGAAGACGCATCAATAGCGGTGCAGGTTTCTTTGTAGACACTCCAGTAACAGGGAGGAAGGAGGATCTACTCAGTTTGCAGACAGCAGCACTCCCCAATAATTCCATGTGAGCCAACAACCAACCTTGGACTGGTTCCTGGACTGGAATTGTGTCAGTGTGAAACTTGGAAAACAGAAGAGTTTGGTTTGGTTTGGGTTTGTTTTGTTTTTTTTTTTTTTTTTCCAGTGCCAGTAATCAAACTATTTCCAAAGCTCTCATTGGTCTCTGCCTTCCAGGATGTTATAGGGAAAGTGGAACAAAGAGAGGGCATTGTAATTTAGAGAATAAAAGATCTTTTCTTTGCAGTCTTCATTGGAGCAGGTACTGAACCTTGTGGGTTTTTCTGTTATTTCTAAAAGCATGACAATCTGCTGAAAAGTAAAAAAAAATCTGTTCTCAAGTTGCACGCTCATTAAATGTCTTTAGGATATGACGTGCTTGTTTACTATTGCAGTAGAATTACAATTTCTCTTTGTCTCCAGCGCTGCCATAGCTTTTATGAAATCTAGCCTTGTGCATCATCAAAGAGTTATCTTGGAAAAGGAAAAATTAGCTAGTGAGTCGTGCACGTTACAAGGGAGAACCCTCTTTTAGGTAAAGTTTGTCTGGGTTTTCAAATTCCAGGAAGAACCCAAAATTGCAGAACAAAGAGCCAGCAAAAAGGGAATATTTCACCTCGATGTTGGGGAAAAAAAAAAAAAAATATATATATATATATA